TCTTCTCTGGATTTCTGTATTTTTTTAATTGGTTAAAAGTGAGTTAAAGAACACATCAAATAATAGCTGTATGTATTGATAAACCTACTTAATCATTTCTTTCTCTCCCTCTCTCTTTAGCTTTCTCTCTCCCTCCCTCCCTTCCTTCTTTCTTTTTTTTCCTTTTGAGACAATGTCTCATGCAGTGCAATGTAGCCTCCAAATCATTATGTAGTCAAGGATGATCTTCACCCCTTGATCCTCCTGCTGCCTCTATCTCCTGAGTGCTAGGATTATGGGTGTATGTTTCCATACCTGGCATATTCGATCACTTTGATTTCTTGTTACATTAGATTATTAATATTATATGTTATCTTTATACTTTCTTTCAGCTATGACTATCACTATTTCATGAAATCACTTCGTGGCAAACTCTATCAGAATGCTATTATCTCTACAGCCTACATGTCTGCTCATGCATTCACCTATTATCATCCCTTCATTCATGCAATAAGCATTTGTCTATCATATCATATTACATATTGGGCCGTGTGTTAAATGTATGGTTCCCACCTTGGAGGGTATGACTGATACTCTAAAAGAGGACACAGACATTCAATGTCACTCATTAAATAAGCCCACAAATACATATCTAGAGTTAGCTAAAAGGCCAACTACAGGTCCTTTAATGGCATATATAGCATGCAGTCTGATCTGGTTGAAGGGACAGGCAAAGAAAAGTCTTCCAACTTGAGCTGAGATGGGTAAATTGAAGTTACCTGGACTGATGGGTTGGATGGGGACACTCCAGACATGGGACTAGTGGCAATATGACAGATGCTATGTTGGGCTTGCCTTCTGGTGAAGTGATAGCTTATCAAGTAACTTTTTTAAAACTCTTGGTGGAGAAAAATACCGTTATTCCCTCTGTTGGCAAGAAGGAATTCAGAAACTTGAAAGCAAAAAATTCTAAGTCTGATCCCAAAGAAAGCATCTGCTGAACTCACAGGTCCCCATGTCTGATTTTGCTAAAATGTCCCCCTGTGTAGCTATTCCAACTTTTAACTTATACCTTGAGAGAGTCACTTGACTTCCCCGAGGATCAGTTTTCTTACCTATAAGCACCAGGCTGGGGTCGTATATACAATTTCAAAGGTCCCTTGCATAGTCAATGTCCTGTTTCTAGAATTAATGAGTTAATATAGGGAGGGAGATCATAAATTCTACAAAACAGATTTGTGGCTTCATTTGAAAACCCCAAATCAGCTTGCATTCATGTACAAAAAAATGTCGTAAAAATGGTAGTCATTGAAATGCATGTTGGATGGAACCAAAAATAGCTAATGCGTCTACAGTTAATGCAGGAAACTATGCTGGAGTGTTTTTATGCCAATTAAGTATCTGAAAGGTAAAGTAACTCAGTTTGATCAAAGGTTGATTTCTCTACTTCTGTCCTTTCTGTGGACTCTTCGATTATAATTAAGTGTAAAGGGAAAAAATGGTTGACAAATCCATTTCACTGAAAAACAAAGGTCATGCAAAAATATCAAGAAAAGGGCAATCCAGTTGAATCCAAACAAGCTGATCCACTAATGGGAGAGGCATGCTCAGCCCCTGTTGCCCTTGAATGCTGGCACATGTCTTAGAACCACTTCAATTCTAACACACTTGCAGTGAATCCTTTAAGCTCTTAAATCATTTGGGAGAATCAACACCAGAATTCACAGGAATCTGACATCTGTCAGTCTGAGTGTAAAGCTTGGGGTTTCAGACCAAAGTCAGATCTTTCTGGAGAAGGGAAAGGACAATAGCTTCTATTTCTTAGCATGCATAATCAATGTCGCAGAGGTTGCTAGGCAACAGCAGAACGGCTGTCAAACATCCCTGGGTGCCTCCAATGAAACAGGAGCAACCCAGAGCCACTCCACAGAGGTGAGAGGCTGTACAGTCCTGGAAGCCGTGTTCAGTTTGACATTCCTTAAAAACTGACGCGCAAAACAGATCTCTTTGTTGTGGTCAGGGCTGAACAATGGACATTTCATCTCCCAGATTAATTTAGTTTTGAATATATTTTCATTTGGACCAAAGCCCTAAAAGTGGGTATGCCAGGCTGGAGAGAAGCAACTCTGTGAAAGGCCTGTGAGTTATTCCAACCCAGTTCACACTGGAGCTCATGGAAAGTCCAACCTGTGAATTCCGGAGAGTTGAGACGGTACCGTCCCTGAAGCCTGAGTTAGCTGACTCAAACAAAACCTCTGACTTAACAGACATTTCCACTCAAGGTCATTGGGATGGGATTTCTTAGATCTGTGGTGAAACAAGATTGAGTGTTTAATCCACCGTTCCTTTGTCCTCATTATTTGAGATAACAATCCCATTTTAATTTAAAGGAGACTAGAAAAGAGCAGGAAGGATTTGACAAAGGGTCAAATCCTTTTTGCTTCTTTTTTCATTTTCTACCAATGCTGTTTAAAGACCAAACACACATCATATATCTAAATTAACATGCAGAAACTTATTCACAAAGCCAGGAGGAATGTGAAGACTGGGTCCTAGGTCTGTTTCAAGGTAGGATTAATTGGGACTTAAACAAGAGCAGGGTCTCACTAACCACAGTGATGGAGACACATGCAGGCCAAAGCATGCTGTAAGCAGGAAAGTGGAACGGTAAATGGTCTCTTTAAGGTCAGCTCAGATAGTGGAGCCTAGGCATTGCTGTTGCCATCAGTTTGTCATTGCTGGAAGAGTAGGCCAACCATTTTGTTTTAGTGTTTGCTCAGAAGGAAATCGAACATACAGGTTGAGAATATTCTGAATTTAGCTAGGCAGCTAAGGTCATCACAGGAAGTACAGAGAAGTCATCACAGAATAAAATACGGCAGTAAGGTGAATGAATGGACTTACTGAGACATTTCCTGGATGTCTGCATATCTGACTAAGGTCTCTCAGCTAGTCCCACACTGCTATCTAGAATTACTCTAGTCTTTCAGGACTTTCTCATGCACAAAGGGTCTCATGCAATACTGTGAAACCAATAGTCTGAAGGCTCGACTTGGCTTCTTGGTCAGCCTCCAATAAGAATGTAAAACATGGACCCAGAACACAGACCCAGGGTCTTCATTTTCCTGATCTGTAACAAATGGTGAGGCTAAGGTTGGATGATTCTGTGGTCCTTCCAACTCAAATACTGGCCAGCCTATGAATTTGAAAAGTTAGCTACACCCTTGATCTCATTTATCCCAAAAAGAAATAGAAGCAACACACAGATATAACACTGTCAACTATTCTGAATATGATATGCTAAAAGATAGACCTTTCCCAATGGATGAAAGACGAGAGGCAGTACGAAGCCATAGCAGGAGTTGGGCACACCCAGCACCACGGCAGCATCCTTCTGTGACGTCCCCGCCCCACCTGCCCTCACATCTCTTCAGAACATCCCTTCTCCTCCCACTTCTTTCTCAATCTCCCTATACATTTCCCCATATTGGAAAGATAATATGTATTTGCTAGATTTATAATTTTGAGAATAGTTGGTCCTTTAGTCACTGAAAAGTGTAGTCCTTAAGAGCCTTTTCTGAGAGATTCAGAGATCATGCCACGGCACTCTGGTTAGATAGTTCTCCAAATGACAAGGGAAGAAAATGTATACCTTTTCTATTTGATTGAACTTTAGTGAATATGCTAGGTCTGCAGGATAGGCAACTCCAAGAATAATTTTATCTGTTCCTCCAGTTATCTATATATGTATACTAAAGTATCCTAAGTCCAACTATAGCAGAACACACAGTTGATGCTGTAAAGAGAGTGGCCAGTCATGATGGCACACGTCTTTAATCCCAGCACTCATGAGGCAGAGGCAGGTGGATCTCTGTGAGTTCAAGGCCAGCCTGGTCTACATAGTGAGTTCCAGGACATCTGGGGCTACAGGGAGACCTTGTCTCAAAAAGTCAAAAAAAAAAAAAAAAAAAAAAAAAAAAAAAAAAAAGAAAGAAAAAGTTTCCAAGGCTGTAACTACTCAACAAATGCCATTCATACAAATGGTCTGTATTTAGCAGACTCAACAAAAAACTTAACCATATTTATTAAGTCAAGAAGGTTAAATTTTACATTAGCCATGTTTCATTCACTTGACACTTGTTTTTATAAATGTTTGATATCCACATATTAAAAGTGTCTTGGTGAGATTTTTTTAATGTTTACAATGCATATTTCAAAGATCTGATTAATTTCATTATGCTATTTTTTAAATATATTTTTGACAAGCTCTAGAAAGATCCCTATAACATTTATCCCTTGTCAATGCTCTTGTTTATCTTACTTAAGAACAGGGTTTGTTTTTGAGTTTGGGAGACAGGACTATGATGAAGGCTTTTAGATTTCTTTTTTATTATTATTTTTATTTTATGTGTATAAGTGTATTGCCTGCATGTATGTGAGAGCACCTGTGTCATGCAATGCCAAGGAGGTCAGAAGAGGGTTTTGGATTCTCCTGAAACTGGGTTAAGGACAGTTTGTAGCTGCCATGTGGGTGCTGGGAATCGAACCTGGGTCCTCTGCAAGAACAGTCAGTGCTCTTAACTGCTGAGCCATCTCTCCAGCCCTGTAGATGTCTTTATTTTAGTAGGAACCCTACATTTTCTGTGGGAATATATAGAAAGTACCATCCAATCCTTGATGAAATCATGTCTAGGGTACAAAATAACAAAACAAAAATCCTGTGGCTTCAGAAATTATTGGAAGGTACAAAGTATGATATCATAGTAGAACGCAGTGGAACAGAGGCTAACTGGGAAGTGAAGTCAACAGCCCTTTTCTCCAGAATCTAGGCCATGTAACAAGGCCCAGGTCATGGAGTCACGAACCCCCACAAATCTGAAGAGAGAACCTTCAAGATGGAGGCTTGCCCCTGAGAAGACTCTGATCATTGAATGTTCTAACTACTCATTTTGTAAAAGAACTTTAAATACATGTATGCCACAGTAGACATGATAAGGAGGTATTCTAGAATGTTTTCTTACCTTCACAGCTACCAAGATCTTATCTTGCTCAGGACAGAGGTTATAGCATTCAGCTAGGAAAACTTTTCCAAAGGCTCCTTCGCCTAGCTCCCTTTTCAGAACAATGTTATGTCGCTTGATGTGCTGAACAACTGTAAAACAAAGAGAACAGAAATTGAAATCAAAGCACATCCAGATGGAAGGAAGAGGAGTCAAAAGGCTAAATCCAGAGCTTTCAGGCCCAAGATTCTCTTTGCAAAGAGTGAGTCAAAGGCAAAACCCACTGTCCATCTTCACCGCCTACCCACAGTAGGAGGTTTTATCTGCTAACTCTTCAGAACTTAATAGTTTTTCTAATAAAGCTAGAGTTGGTATTTTCAGCCTGGTAGGTGGCTGAAAATACCATTAATAAACTTTGTAGACAGGAAAATAGAGAACTAGAAGAAACGTTAGTGGCAGGCAGGATTAATAAACCAGATGCTTTACACACATCTTTTGGTCACCTGCTCAGAGATACTCAAGAATACTTTGTTCTTTGTCAAGTCATCTCAGATACTTAAAGGAGACAGGCTCAGAGAAAAAGCAGTGAAAATACAGATCCTACATTGCTAATTAAGGCTTTGCCCCTGCCTGATTCAGCTTCTAGTGTGGTAGACTAGAACACAATTGTGCCTCAATGACTTTTTCTGTTTAGTATAAACAGCTGGCTCCCATAGCCCCATTTCTCTAAGATTATACCCTGGTCTTGGCTCTCCAAACTAAGAATAGGTAAGGATAGACAAATCAAGGGAAGAGAGACCCTATAGTCTAGAAAAGAATAGAGTAAGTCACTCGTCCAACTTCCTTCTTGGAGAGCATGGCAGGTGGCAGTCGAAGGTCTTTAGAAGCCTAGTGGCTGCCAGGAGGAGAGGAGATGGAAACAATACAAGGACAGAGCTAAGAGAGAAGCAGAAAGGAGACTACTGGACAAAACTGCAGTGTGGCACAAGCTTGAACCTCACACCCAGAGCTTCAAGTGTTGACTACCTTAGCAGGGAGCACCCCTGGTCTCTTTTCTGGACTTCCTGCTTCTGAATGGCAGTACAGTTGGGCCTCCACACCTGCCAGTTCTACACCTGTAGATTAAACAATCTTCATATAGAAAATATTCAGAAAAATTGCATCTGTACTGAGCACGTGAAGACTTGCTTTCTCGTCATTATTCCTGAAATCATACAGAACAACTATTTATATAACATTTATATTGTATTGAGTATCGTATGTGATCTAGTGATAATTGAAAGAATTTGGGAGAATGTGCATTATGTGTGTGAAAACACTATACCATGTCACATAAGGCACTCGATTTTCTTTGGATGTTCATTTCAGAGGAGAGTCATGGAGCCACCCCCCACCCGACCTTGGGAAATAAGGACCATTGGCTAAAGAGGATGGAATGTCCTAGCTCATTCTCATAGCATTAGGACACTTCTCTGCATTTATTAAGTAGATAGCAGCCTGTAGCAATGCCAAGGATTCTCAGTAGCAGCTGAGGTTTGAACCCCACCACTTAAATTCAGAGTTTGTGTTCTTCCTTTTATACAGCAATCTTTTAAAATTGTAAATTGTGTTAAACATGAGAAGAGACTTGACATATACAAGACATGGAACAAAAAGTCAAAATAATCTCCCCACTGCCCTCTTGGCCAGTTCACCATTCAGAGCCTGGCCAAGTTCTTCCTCCTTCTGAAAGCTTTCTGGGATCACTGTGATGACCAGAGGCCTTCTTTCTGATCTCATATTCTGTGGTTGACTTAAGTTTATTGTGACTTATTCCCCAACCATTCTATACGTGTAAGTTCCCTGAGGTTCAGAGTGAGCTTACCATATCCCTTCCATCTGTTTGCAATACCTCGGATGCTAAGCACAAAGCGGAGGTTGGTACTATGCAAAACTTGGTATCTTTTCTTTTAAAAATATTTTTCTTTATTGTAAAATCCACTGAAGAACAAAGAAAATATAAAGCACATCTCTGCACAGTTTGCGTGGTAAGATGAGTACGTGACCCACCGTTCCACTTCCTTGTAGAGTGAGTATTCCTATCCCCAGCCACTGTGGATCTTGGGGCAGCCAGTGTGGGATTTTAGATATCTTATTATGGACTATTTGTGTGTTCTAATGGAACGTCTTAAGGATGCAAGCAAGTCTAAACAGAACTCGTGTGTTCCATGTGGACTCCCTATACATAAAACCTAAGATCATTTTGCACAATATTTTCACTGCATCTGTGCTTTCACTGTGACCAGTCATGTGAGGTCCACTTTGGATATTTATTTTACTTGTAGTGTCATGTTGGTTCTCAAAAAGTTTTAAACTTGGAGCGCTTTGGAATTTGAATTTGGGGCAAGGGATACTCAACCTATAGTGCCTTAGGAACATCACTGTGAACATAGATTTTTTGGGGGGGGGCTTTTTGAGACAGGGTTTCCCTGTAGCCCCAGCTGGCCTAGAACTCACCATGGCCTTAATCTCACAGACTGGTCTACACCTACCTCTGTCTCCCAAGTGCTGGGATTAAAAGCATGTGCCATTCCTTTCCCAGGAATATAGTCACCGTCCTGGATTTTAGATTAATTTTTTCCTTCATCATTTTGCTGCCCAAATGTCATATTCCTAACAAGAGATTATTTAGCTTTACCTGGTTTTGAACCTACATCAGCAGAATTACACAGACCCTTCCATATTTTACACCTTTCACTTAACAGTAGACTTTGCTACATACTGTGTTTAGGGCCATTTCTTTACCTTTTACTATTTCATAATATTCTGTGGAAGAATCAAACCATTATATAGTCATTCAGTGTACAGTGATGGGTCTCCTGTACAGTTCCTTTTAAAATACAGATTTTTCATAAAATTCTAACAGTGATTAAAGTTTTGCTTTAATGGTATTTTCCCCATGATAATTCGTGTGGTTCTGATCTCTGTGTGCCTCTGGAAACTCAGAGTGATAAAAATCAGAAGATCTTTTTATGAGCAACAGTATTAATGAATACGAGAACACATTAACTTCTCATACTCTAGTAACATGCCTGGGTTTCAGAGGACAGGAATGTGCTCATTAGAAGAGTTCTCTATAAAGACACAAAAGTGATCCCTACAGAGAACAGGCTGCCCTGTTTAAACCCAAGATTTAACTTTTTGGCTATCACACACTCTTTGGGAATTAAATTGCCACTTGATTTACTTCACACTCTAATCAGACCAAGGCAAGTATTTAACTTTTGGGGCATTTATTAATTAATTTTATCATCTTTAAAACTGCATTAAGGGGCTGGAGAGATGGCTCAGTGGTCAGATGAGACTCAGTGTTTTACTCATTTCTAAATCAAAATGGATAAAAATTAGAGTCTCATCAAAAGTATATTCAGGGGTTGGAGAGATGGCTCAGTCATTAAGAGCACTGGCTGCTCTTCCAGAGGACCTGTCCGGGTTTGATTCCCAACACCCACATGGTGACTAACAACCATCTGTAAGTCCAGATCCAGGGAATCCAACACCCTCTTCTGGCCTCCACAGACATTGCATGACACCAATGCACTTACATACATGTAGGCAAGACACTTGCATACATTTAAGAAATATATTTTTTTAAATTACAGCTGAGAACAGCTTTGTCTCGTTGGCACTGAGAGCAGAAAATGTATCTTTTCTTTAGGAAATAGGCTATTTGCACTTGTTGACTTTGTTACGATTTGGGGTATAGATATCTAAAAATGTCCCTTTCCAGTATATTACCTCTAAATACAATAAATGTCTCTTATTCTCAGGGACATGGGTAACGATGATTTTATGATTACAATCTGATAAGGCCTCGGGATACTTTATACTAAGTTGGCGTTACATAAATATTTCTCAAAGGTTTTATTTCATAATAAGGGCAAATAGATACAGGTTGATTATGTTATCTCAGATAATGGACAGCACACTATTGAGTCTGCATGCAATAAAGCAGCCCAGTTCTCTGAAGTGTCTGGAATGAGGAAAATAGAAAAATAAAACCTGAGTCTGAAGGTTCCACATAGCTGAACTAGTAGGAATTTCTTCTGATTTTCCACCATGAAAACATCTGGGCTTATCCTAATTTGCTTCACTTTCTGTTTATCTAGAACACCTCAGCAAGTCCTCCTTCTCCAGCCTTTCACCCCTGCAGTGCTCCTACGATCACAGCCAATGTTCAACTCTTCAAGTCCCTTCAAGTCTTCAGTGCGCACCATTCCAAATGCTCCCATGATTGCCTAGCCTCCCTCTGCAGCCCACTCAAATGAAGGCCCTGCTCAGCCCTTGCTTCTCTCTCTTTGGCAGCACCCTCAGGCCTGCTTTCTGTCACTCCCTCTCCCTCTTGGTAAAACCACAGCTATTCTGAAGCCTCTCTCAGGGGCCCACCAGCCCGAGTACCCTCTGCTCTGTTCTTGCTGACAGCACTTACCAGGCTCCTGCCTTGCACACTCTGTCTCCATTCTTCTGACACCTTGCATTTCAGGCTCAGGAGACAGAGATTCAGGAACTTACCTAAGCTTAGACACACATCAGACTGCTGTCCACTGTGTTTTTCAATAGTGAAGCAAAGAGCCCACAGGCATAGAGAGATTTGATTGGCTGTTTGCAAGATATCAAGCTGACTTTTCCACAGGAGCAAGAGTCTGTTAATGAGGAAAGTGATGCACTGGCTTCCATTCTGGACAGACTCTGTATCTCACTTTGCACATCATTCTGTTTATTATTTATTATTTATTCATCTTTATTTTATGTATATGAGCATTCTACCTGCATGCATGTAAGTGCACTGGTGCTGTGCAATGCCAGCAGAGGCCAGAAGAGGGTATCGAATAACAGGAATTACAGACAACTGTTAGTTGCCATGTGGGTATTGGGAAGTGAACCTGGGTCCTCTGCAAGAGCAGCCAGTGCTCTTAACCACCGAACCATCTCTCCAGCCTTGCACAGCATTCTCTTAAAGGGAGTCTGTAAACATTCTGATTCATTTCCCATAAAATATCCTGAGTGGGGCAGTCTAAGGATTCCAGGATGAATAAGCTGTCTACCCTGTGAGCAGGGAAAATTCACACATGCTGCCTTTCTCTGAAGCCAATTACGTCTCTGCTTTGGGACT